TCATTTTCTATAGGATGGTGTTGAGTTGAAACGTGTTTTGTGTAGGAGTTACATACCTTGTTTAAAGTCTCTGTGTAGCTGGTTAAGTGGTCAAGTAAGTTTCGTTGAGAAAAAAATAAAAGTGAGAATGAGGTAGCTTGCTGACAAGTGTGAGCACGTAGCACATCTTCTGCTGCGTTGCAGGTTTGCAACAAAGATTCCAGGTGTTTGTGCTTGCTGAAATCTGTCCAGACAAATTAGGAACCATACATAAGCTTTTGGCTCGGCACTAAATGTAGCTTACTAATGAATAGTTGCTGCTTATATATTTATTTTTTACACAATCCACATCTAAACTCCGGGCTTAAAAAATAAAACAGTTGCTCCCTGCTTGTGCTTGGTATTCCCACAAGTGTTCTCAAACTGCTGCTGAGGTGGTCACAGGTCGATTAAGGAGCTAAAATATAAAACATATTAATTAGCCAAGAATTTTTTTTACAGCTTTAAAAATGATTAACGTGAGATCAATTTAGGATGTTAAAGTTTTACAAGCTTTTTCATCTTGATTATGGACAAGATTCGTTAAAAAAATACAAGGATTAATGCCAAAAAATGGGATATAGACAATAAGAATTCCATAAAACAGACTCGTGTTTGCATTCACGGTTCAAATTTTCATTGCTTTGCTGTAAATTTGTGCACATTGCAAATAAAGCTCTGCCAGCATTCGAGTTTAGTTTATTTAAACTAATCTAAATTTTCTCATGCAAGCACCTGACCTGCAAATGACTGTGAGGAGAAGAGGAAAAAAAGTCAAGGGAGGGAGAAACATGAAGAAGGTGATTTATGAGTTAATTTGTCAACTGAGTACAACAAGGAAAATCATAACTATAATTCCTTCACACACACAGACACAAACACACACACACACACACATACCTGCAGTGTGCATCCAAACACATACACAAACATAATGATATGACTTTGCATTAGCTTTACATTAGAAAAATATATTAATAGCTGGTGGAGCAACAGATGGATCAATAAAACGTTCCAAAAACAAGCAGAAACAGGGTGTATAGTGTTACAGATTGTTGTATTCTTGACTTCTTTGTGATTGATTGGTGGAAACTACAATTATGCAAGTGCATAAGTGCAAATGTGATGTTTGACATGACTAATGCATGTCAAAGTCACATTCCAGGAAGCAGGGTTTATTTAAACCTGTTACCCAAAGAAAGAAAGGACATAAATTGTTTCATTTCATATTCATGTGTCTGCTTGTGTGCGTTGCCAGTGTGTAGGAAGGATATATGAGTCGGGCATTAATTGTGGTTGCGCAGCAGACAATTGATGTTAGCCACGCAGTGACAACCTGATGATAAGTACACGACTACCCGTCAGAGCTTGCTTTCTCTTGTTGTCTTTTAAATCACGTTGATTGGCAGCCAGGAGGAGTGTGTGGTTACACAGTTATTTTAAGTGGCTCTGCGATATGAATATGCATGCAAACCTCTGTCCGCATGCGCTGAAATCCACCGACTGCTCCTGACGAACGTACGTGACACTGACACATCCAGCTGCGTGTAAATCTGGGGTTTGTGCAGGCTGCGAGTGTGCACATTCGCTCAGGTTACTAACTGTTATTGAGTGCCGGGGACGTGTGCACATGTGTGTGTTTCAGTGTGTCTCGTATTACTAATGTAATATTGGTTGTAGGCTCTGGAGATGTGCACGTGCAAGCAAGTGCACGGCAGATATTGAGAACTCCACATGAATTTAAATCAATGAGCTCATGGAGTAACCTTTTGTATATCCAATCTGCATCTTTCCACCACTCGTTATTAAATTATCCCCTAATTGGTCACGCAACAAAGGCAGCTGATGAAAAAGACAATTTCTTGCTTTTAATTGGGCATTTCACGTGCGCTTTGCGTACACCTGTGTGCGGCTGACTTGACTCAGTGTGTGTGTGTGTGTGTTTTGGGTGTAATGAGAATAGGACATTAGCAGGGGCTTGGCAGACGCCGTCGCAATCAGTTCCACTCTTCCCGCTGAAGGAGGGAGAGCAGTTGGAGAATTAATTCTGACATTAGCAAAATCAGAGGGAGGAAAAAAAAGAATGTTGGAGACAAAAAGAATAAAACTCACCCAATCTCCTTACATGACTTTAGCGGATTGAGTTCTGGCAGGAACACACGGCTGGCATGTTGTTTTGATTTCACTGTATGATCGGTTCATGCATATGTCAAACATATGTGCCCCTGATGAGAATCCAGCTCCTACAGTTTTTGAGCTTTACAAGTCATCTTTCTTTTTCCATGTGTTTTTTTAAACAACTTTAGCTGCACCATCGATGGTAATTTTTTTCGAGAGAGAAACATCTCTCCAAAAAAAAAAAAGCCCAACTATTGTTGCTCAGTGTAGAGCTGAATAGTGAAGCTCATTGTGTTGTGATGGGAGGCAGGGGAGTGAACAGGCCATAAACACCGGCCCTATAACACCCAGGGGTCGTGAAAAGGTGAAGCCTCACTCCGGTTTTCCTTTTTCTCCACTATTTTTCCCCCTCTTTCACTTCTCTCTCTCTCTCTCTCTCCATCACTCTTTATCTCTTCATGAGTCCTCTCCCTTTTTTTTCATTTCCCCCTCTTTCCACCTCCGTCATCGCAGCCCTCTCCTCTCATTCTGTGTCAGCTTATTAATGGTCACAGCAAGAGTGTCTGGTGTGCAGTGCGGAGCCCCTTTGCTCTCTTTCTCCTCCTTCCCTACCATTCTCCTGCTCTCCATCTCTTCATTCCCTTGGCTGCTATTATGAGAGGCATTTTGTCCTTTGTTCCAGGCCCCATGGTGCATCTGGCCTCAGATATGAGGACGACAGTGACAGGAAACTGGCAAGAGTTTTTGAGAGTGGGGGTGCTCAGACTGTGGATTCGTTGCTCGGAGTTTTGACTGTCGTTTTCCACCATAAAGGGAAGGAATGATATGATAAGGAGGGAGCCAGCAGGAGAAGGAAATGATATAGAAAGGCACAGTCACTGTTGTTTAGTAATTGTAACACTCCAATCATTTATTCTTTTAAGTTTACCTCAGCGCCAAAAAGGATCCGCTAAAGCAACTTCTTTTGCTGTATCAAAGCATTTGATGAGAGGTAGACGGACGGACATAAATAAGGAGAACAGATGCGATGAGAAACATGAAGAGGAAGGAGGCGAAGAGAAGGAGAGGTCAATAGTTAGTCGTTTTTGGCCTCGAGTTGACCTTCTGTAAAGGGTTTGGAGAGCAGAGGAGAGGAGAGTAAAAAGGAATGCTCGGGCCTCCTCAGCCCTCTTTGCCCTTGCTCCTCCTCCCCATATCTCCCCCAGCAGAACAGGGTAGCAGGGGAGGAAGGGAGGGAGAGCRCGTTGGTGATAAAACTCCAGACGTTCCCTCATTTGATGGTGCTCCGCCATGTCAGAGCATTCTTACATTCCTCCCTAACTCTTCCTACTTCTTTCTCACCTCCCCTGACATTCTAAATCTGCATACTTTAGTCTAACAAATATGGAACTTAAGTATAAAAGTTACACTTTTAGTAATAAGAAACTACATGTTGATACGACTTATTTGCTGCCTTTGTCTGGCAAAAGAATAAATATCTGAAGCAGCTTAAAAGTGATGACAAATCAGTATATTTTTGGAATGCAATAATGCTATAGCAAAAATGTAGGTTGATGGTTCTTTTTTTGCTATCCATTTATGTTATTGTCTTTTTACTTAATTCCCAACATCTCTGTTTTCAAAGAATTAAATGGAGCAACCAAATAAAGCAGTTTTGATTGGGGATTATTAAAGAAATCGAAACTAAAAGAAGCCCCTTTCACCTATCATTGTGGAAACAGATGCAGCATGCTTGTATCCTATGGTTTCTATTCCCTCTTTTCTCTATCCCTTGAGCTCATAAATGGTCTGTTTTCAAGCTTTTTAAAAGTCTAGCACACTATTGTTCCCCGTAACTTCAGCTAATGCTCCCCTTTTCAGAGATGAAATAGAAGTGTCCGGTGGGGCAACAGCAGGAACACATAAATCAAGTCAGAAGCCCCAAGAGTCCTCTCTCCTTGGGGTCATTACAGGCCAAGGGGTCATTTCAAATGGGGTTAGCCTGAGCAAGGCCAGAGCAGCTCTTCTGTGAGGGCATTAACGGGTGTGAATACACATAAGACTGGGTGAGGGAGGGATTAGCTCTGTGTGTGTGTGTGTTGCCCAAAAAAAGTGAGAAGCTGATTTGGATAAGAGTGATRGTGTGAGTGTGTTTGCGCTCAATAAATGGTTTGATTGTGCGTCCAGAGAAATGCTGGCGAAATCTTGCCTCAGCAAAAACAGACACGCTCTAAAAACAAAGTAACACAGGGTCACCTGTCGTAGGCAAGTAACGCCCAAAACAATGCCTCTCACCAGAGGCAACGTGACATGTTTCTGTCAGCAACACTTGCTACGCTGCCACGTTCGAAGCCGAGCGAGCGCGTTAAACCGTCAGCATTCTCGACTCGTTGTGAGGTGGAACGTCTCCGGAAGAGGAGAAGATGGGCTGAAATGTTTCAGACAGGCAAAAGTGAAAAATCCCAGCAAAGCCTTGGCCCACAAAGACCCCAGTGTTCAGGCTGTTTGTGTGTTGAGGCAGGTTCGCACAAGTTGGGAAGTTCTGACTTTTCAAAGACAACTCCCTTGGTTGTTAAAATTGGCAAGATGTGACTTTCTCTGTAGCTCTATGAGGGGTTTACTGGGGCTCAGTGATGCTTATGGGAAAGTAATTACTCCTTATCACTGTTATGGTTAGCTAAAAAAAGAGGCTGCTTTGGAAATGTGGTTGTTTTTGTGCTGGATGCCAAGGTTTCCAGAGCATTAGTCAGCATTTTTTCCTTAATCTTGTTTTGAGTAAAGCTCTGACTGTGTTTCTGTGTTTTTTGTCTCTTACCCTTCCTTTTCTTTCACCCCTCCCTCCTGTTTTACAATCCTGGTCCTCCTCTCTCTTTCACCCTCTTCAGGTTCATTAATGCGAGGAGGAGAATAGTGCAGCCCATGATCGACCAGTCAAACCGTGCAGGCAAGTCACCWATATACTGTTTTCAAGTCATGCAGGCGCAAGCCGTCCACTCATCCAGGGGCCTCTCAGCTGGTAAATGTAGGACGAATGCTTCGTGTTTGGAATGTCCAAATATTTCAGGGACTTTCCTCTTCCTTATCACTGACCAAAAAAGCAAAACATTACAAAATTAACAGCAACTGTTAAATAATCTAGCATGAGGTGAATATATATCAATCAATAAGTAGTAGAAATGGGGCTGTGTTCTCAGTAGTTTCTTCTTAAACCTTACCCCATTTGGTTAAACCCAATGGGTTAAACCATAACAATAAAAAACATGTTTGATTTTTTTTGAAAGGGTGGGGGTGACCCTTGATTGGCTTCTTGGCTCCAGACCTGTTTTGACCCTCATCCCTTCATACACCTCTAAACACCCTCCCTCAACCCCACTTTTGGCTGTTTCAGGGTGCGAGGGAATGAGTGAACAGTCCCCCGGTGCATGGCTTGGTTTGGACTGCTGTAAACTTTATTACCTGTAATAGGGGTCAGAGGTCAGAGTGGCATTAGGGGCACGCAGTAAAGTTCAAAGGCATTCATTGGGGGCCGAGGTCTTGCTTTTGCTTGACTGACCCCCAAACAGCCTAAATCGAAGGTAAGTGGTCTTCTATGAGAGCAGAACAATGGAGAGAAGCAAAAAATAGGAACCGTATCAGGTTTCAGTTGTTCTTGCTGCTCAGTTTTAGGCAGTATTTATGAGATAAAGCRTTTAGATAGGACTGGATTCTGGGACCAATCAGTAAGAATGAGTTTTTGCTGAAAACCGGTTGGAGCTTCAACCTGGAATTCATTTGGAATCTTTAACTGTATACGTGCAATTACACATTGAGAGTAGCAGCAGTGGCATTGAAAGCATTGCAGCATCATGTGCCAACATCTCCTTTATTAAATATCATATTATGGACATTTTAGACTTGTCAGTCTGTATTAAGTAGGATAAATGTTTTGGATAAAAATGTGAAAATGTCCTCAATTTGCATGTTGGCTGGTTGTGCAAACAGATGGCATCCGAACACAAACATTGTGTGTGGATCTTTATGATAAACAGTCTGAGTGCTATCAGGCAGATTTACTATGTTCTGACTGAATGTACATTTTAAAGCACTATACAAAGTTCTTCAGTTATGCTAATATGCTAAATGGGTTTAATTTTGGTTTTTATAATGAAGTAATTATGTTTAAACCAAGACTTTGTGAATCTTCAAAGTACCATAGTGTATATTAAACTCTTAGTCTGATCCCTCTTAGAGCATTTAGCTGCATTAAAGTCTACTGGGGGCTTACAGKGGAGAGCCAGTTGTACAGACACATAGCAGAATGACGCTGAAAGACAACGGTGTCTTCCTGTGCGTGCACCAGCCAACAGATGATCCTGCTCCGGCTGCTGAGCTTTAATTAAAAGGACTAATTGACCACTCTGCTCCCTCCCTCCAATCCTCCCGTCCCTCCCACCTTGTCTTCTCCTCCATCCACAGTAAGTCAAGGAGCTCCCTACAATCCAGATGGCCAGCCAATGGGTGGCTTCGTCATGGACGGCCAGCAGCACATGGGAATCAGACCACCTGGTAAGGCTTTCTCTGTGTGTCTGTCCTTTTTCCTTTCCTCCGTAGTTCTTCTGATATTACTTCTATCTTGTGGTTGCCTCATCCACACCCCCCCCCCCCCGCCTTCCCAAATCTTGCCCTATCAGCGCTCTCTTTGTCTCCCCAACTTCATTTCAGCCTCCCCACTCTTTTAGTCACTTTCTGTTTATTTGGTGTATTTTATTACATGGGACAATACATCTCCCATGTTGATGTATTGTACCGTCATGCTTGGGCAAAAATGTCGCCCCAGGTCAGTTCATTCTTAAACACAAGCAAATCTACTTGGAATAAATGACTGAAAACCAGAATTACTTAAAACAAAACTTTGAAAAAAGAAAAGCAAGTTCTTTATTCCTTTTGTACCAGTTTACAGCAGAAACACAAACTGTTTAATGCCAGATTCGCAACATACAAGAGGAATGCATGCAAGAAAAAACAAAAGAATTGTTGCATTTTTTTTCCAACGTAAAACTGTATTAGATCACAGGAAGTATAATAATTCAGTGTATTCTGGTTTAGTCATGCATGACAACTATACAACTTTCAGATATTTTTTACATCTTAACCAGTCTTCAGATTTGCAACAAATAACTGCCCAATGTTGCCACAGAACCTCAACAAAAAATGTGCTCATTGTGTATTTATGCAGATGATAGACAGTTATTGCAGGAAGCATACCATGCCTGTGCTTCAGTATAATTCTTGAAGTGAATTTACTAGCCACAATATATGACTGTCCTGTGGTAGTTTTGCAAATAGTAGAATCCGGGCTCCCAAACATTTTAAGACACACATAGTGTTTCTCCTCCCCATCCCACCCTTTCCCGAGACACTAGAGCAGGTGTGTTTTATCTCATTACACCGCCATCTCTCTCACTCCCACTTCCTCAAACTCGGTTGCTCTCTCACGCCATCGGGTTTAATCCCAGAGTTTGTCCTTAAGCTCTCCTCCTCCTCCCATATCCTCTCTTTTCTGGGATTCTCTCAAGTCTCTAACCCAATCTCACCCTCCGCTTAAAGTCAGAAGGTTTGGATAAACTGCCAACCAACTTAACTATCTTGTTCTCGTCCTCAACATCTTCACACACCCCTCCCAGTTTGAATTGGAGAGCTTTGTTGCTGTACTGTTTCAAATTGGCATTAAAGTACAACAGGGACACTGTTTTTTCTGAATTAACTGGCAAAGCAGCTTGAACACATTACATTTTGTAGTTTTTTATTGTTTGTTAATTTAAATAAAGCTTTTTTTTTTCTATAGGGCCGATGGGTGGAATGGGCATGAACATGGGCATGGAAGGTCAGTGGCACTACATGTAGCCCTACCCGAGCCTTAACAATCACAACACAAAGGGAAAAGTAAGTACACTTAAACTTGGTTTTGAACCACAATATCTTATTTTTGTGTTCATTTTATCAGAGGAGTTGTGTTTTAAACATTATGAAAGCAGATCTGCGACTCAGATACAAAGGATTATCAAAAGCTTTTCTTCTTTTTTAACATGCACTGTATGCAGCTACAACTTTAGAATTCTGTCACATAAATTTAGAATATACTCTTCTTGTCTGGCTAATAGTTTTCCCCCAAACAAATATATTTGGAAATAATTCCCTGGGATTTTTCAACATGTGTAAATGGGGTTTGTGGATACAAGCAGGCTCTTGTTCTTCCCAGGCGGGTTTTTTCATCTGTTACTTTTCCTCTAACTCTCTGACCCAGTGCGTGGTGATAAGAGCCTTTGATCACATCCATGTAACTCTTTGTGTATGTAGTCTGTGTGCKAGTGTTGCTCTCTCCCACATCCAACAGACACAGAACCAAACATTTTTCACATCAGTCAGTGGAGGTGAGAAAAGCAAAAACAGCGAAAAAAAAGAGGAAAAAAACATCAAATAACAGCTTTTAATAGTAATCAATGGGAAAGTGTTCCACTATCAATACAAAGTACATATTGAGAGATGGTTCTGTGCACTGGTTTGGTTCATGCGAGAGGAAGAGAGGGGCAATTGGAAGGAAAGGAGGCGGGGCTAGCGTTGGGAAAGGGGATGGGTGGGGGACTTAAGGTAGTGAGGGGGCGGGGGCAGGTAGAACGTTACTATGGCAACAGACTGATTGGCAAAAATGTAAGTAGTCRTTGCTGGTGCAAGGAGGGAAAGAGAGAGAGAGAGAAGTGAGTGCCCCTTAAGTGTCATAAATCTGCCGGGTTGCTGTTGATGCATGAGCTACATTAATACACACACGCTAACCAACTACAGGAGCCCCCCCCCCCCCCACCCCACCCCAATCCCACCATGACTCTTGCAGGCTCTCGGCAGTAACAGAGCAAAGTGAAAGTGAAACTTAAACTGTCTGCTGCTCTTAACACTACTGCTCACTCAGTGAAGCTCTTTTCAGATTCAAAGTACCTTTGAGGAAATCTATTTTCAGCTTCCAAGTAAACTGCATTATGGC